ACTAGAATATTTTATATCAGTCCTTCAGGATAAATAATTGATTTGTTGGCTAGCTGAAGTGTAACTCTCGTATCCTTTAAAGGCTAAGTGGAAATTAAATTATAGACGGAGAGAGGCATTAAGTTGATAGAGGCACCTAGATCACACATAGCTCGTTTGATTTTAACCTCACCAATTTTACAAGGTATTAAAAACATACATTGGTCTTTATACTTTGGTGGAAGCAGTCGTTGGAAAACTGCTAAGACGTTCGCACCTAAATCCACATTCTCGTTTCCGGTAAGTCGCCTTTCATTAGTACAGAGATCCTTTAAGAACCAGGCATACCTTGAAACTTTCCGGATAACCTCGATGAGAGGTATATTAACTTCCACCTTCCGAAGTACGTCTAATATTTCCTTTTCCTCAGTTTTTTATCCTTTTTAACTAACATCAATGAAAAAGGCAGTGACATGTCATAGGGGGATGGCGTCGTGTCATCCATTTGTTATTCATCATTTTCTTTCTGGGATCCTACGTCAACTGCTTCCCTTTAGGAGTTTGAATTTTCTTATTTCTTTTGGGATCTTGTGCTTACTTCCTTTGGGTCTGGTTGTTCAAAAATTGTACCGCTTCGAAGGGTGATGGTGCTAACATTCTCTATTGGATTCAACTCAGTTTGTGATGATAGCCTCCTTTGTGACTCTAATCTCCCTACGGCTTGAGTCAGTTGGATTATCTGTTTGTCTATCTCTTGGAAGTGGGCTTCAGTTCGAGTCTGGAATTTTTCTTGGGATAGTGCTAACTTCTCGACAATTGATTCTAATGATGACTTCTGCGGTTGTTGCGGTGGTGGAGGTCTCGCTTGATAGTCTTGATTCAGTATCGGGTTCTGAGCATAACTGAAGTTCGGATGATCCATCCATCCTAGGTTGTATGTATTACCGTAAGGATTATAAGCTCTTTGGGGAGGTCCCGAAAAGTTTCCGATTGCGTTGACGTGAGCTGTTGCGCCGTCTTGAATCAGTGGACAATCGTATGTTGGATTATCAAGTAATGCACATATTCCACATAATCCGTTTTGTCATGTCTTTCCTACAACAAGAGAGTGTATGACTTCAGTTAACTTGTCTATTTTATCTTCTAAGGAAGATGAACTTATCTCATGAACCCTTCGAGAAGGTTCATTGTTTGTGCGAAATTGTTGGGAATTTGCGGCCATCATCGAAATTAAGTCTCTAGCCTCAGTAAGAGTCATATTCACCAAGGCTCCACCGCTGGCAGCGTCGATCATCTTCATTTCCAAGGGAGATAATCATTCATAAAAGTATTGAAGGAGTGTTTGTTCGGTTAACCTATGTTGTGGGCAACTAGAACATAACTTCTTAAACTGCTCCCAATAGTCGTAAAGTGACTCTCCATCAAGATGCTTGATTCCAAGTATTCTCTTTCGTAGTTCACTTACTTTTGCCGCAGGAAAAACCTGTCAAGAAAAAGTCGAGTCATTTGAGCCCATGTAGTAACAGAATTAGGAGGAAGATAAAATAACCACTCTTTAGCTGAATCAGCTAAGGGAAAATGAAAAGCTCTAAGTTTTATCTGGTCCTCGGTTACTCCCTGTGGTCTCATGCTGGAGCAGACCATATGAAATTCCTTGAGATGTTTGTGTGGATCCTCGTTCGGCAATCCGCGGAATGTAGGGAGGAGATGAATAAGGCCAGTTTTCAACTTGTATGGAGTTTCGCCTTGAGGAAAATCAAAGCAAAAAGGCTCTTATTCAGTGGGTGCCGCGGCTAACTCTCAGATAGTAGTATCGTCCATCGGAATTGTATTAACGGATTCACATGAGTTTGATTCTTCTTCTGGATTTGATTGTTTTCTTCTTTTTTCCCGAAGTGTCTGTACGTGGAGTCTCCTAACCTTGGCTTCAATCTTCGGGTCGTACTCCACTAATGCTCCCGGATTAGACCTAGTCATAAATCAAAAGCAAACAAAAATTAGTAACTTTGGCGAAGTCCCCGGCAATGGCACCAATTTGACAACTGTCATTTTGGATGTCAAAATAAATTTCTTTCTTCTCGGATAATAAATAAAGGAAAATTCGTAACGTAGAGAAGTAGGGTCGAATCCACAAGGACTTAGAAAATTATAAATTTATGTCTGATTTATTTATGACAGGCGTGAAACAGTAAAAATGGTGGGAATTTTGGTAAGAAAATATTAAAATAATAAAAGCAATTAAATAAGTAAAAAGCAATTAAAGTAAAAATAAGAAGATGAAGATTGTGAATAAATACAATAAAAGTAGCCTCAAGTTTCTCTTTGACTCAATTTCCTTATGATCATCGAATAATGTTCTCTTCGGGATTCACGTCGGTTACTTTGTCTACAAGGGTTATCCCTGTGACTCTATCTTGTATACCGAATACCCAAGGCAATCTTTGATTCCGGCTTCAGTAATTGATTCTAACAACATCAATTGTCGTAGATCAATTACCGTTTAAGTTCGTGGCTTCCGACTCGGATTGTTGCTTCGATAACCGTCAATTCCGATCTCAATTCCCTCTTGGCGAAGCTATCTCGCCAAGTGTGTTCCCAGGAAGTCGAATTGCTTTCTATAAGCCGATCTTCCTCCCACACATTTAATCGCAACAACCTCTTGACCAAAGTCAATCTTTGATTTTGAAAACTGTTTTGATTTTGAAAAATAAGCGCAGAGATTGAGAGAGATATTCCGAAGATATTAAGGGTCTGTTTCAATTCTCCCGATGGAATTGAGTCATCGCGACAGCTCTCGGCTTATGAAAAGTTTAATTAAGCATGACAAAAGTCATACTTAGCATTTTGAAAACAACGCTTGAAAAATAAAAGAAAAATGAAAAGAACTTGAAAAGTAAAAAGAGAAAACTTTTATAAAAACTAAAGAAAGAAGAATATAATCTGAATGATGAGTTTAGACTTACCCCAAGTGGGTATTTATAGCCTCTCTAAGCCTAAAGGATAAACAAAGAAAATAAATAAAATAAACCTAAGATAATTGTTTTTCAAATTTAAATTCAAACTTAAACTAGTCTCCTAATGCAACTCTGCTCGTCCATCTTCCAGAAGGTGTGCGGAGGAAGTCTTCTGGAAACTGTCGTTGACCGAGCCTTCTAGAAACTGCCACGTCAGATCGCGTCATGCCCAGAGTCGTGCCCATGTCTCCAGCCGTGACCAAATAATAAAGAAAATGCAGAATGCGCCCGTTTTGTCACTAATTTTGGAAAGTAAGGACCTGCACGAAAACAAACATAACACGACTAATTTAGCAATAATAAATCCTCAAAACCGAAGAAATAACGAGCAAAGATTAACGATTCTGAACACTCATCAGAGGTTAAGGCTCTTGATGATAGTCACAATTGGGTTTGGTAGATTTACCTGTAGGCAAATAGATGGTTGGATGGGATGCAAATAGGTCTTTGTCTTTAAAACAAATCTTGATGGTTCAAGACTAGGCTTCAATCTCCACTTGTTGGAAAGTTATCATATTTGGGTAGTGAATATGAGGACCTCCATACAAGCTCATGACCTATGGGAAGTCGTGGAAACTGAAAGAGAGTTAGGCAATCTTACACAGTGAAGAGCGTGCCAAGAAATACAGAAAGGATGTGATCTTCACAAGGATCATGGCATGGCTTGTGAGACGACAAGCTGAAACAAGAATTCAAAGTAGACTAGATAGTAGCAACTTATCAATGAACTTGAAGATTAAGGAAAGTGAGTCTTGTTAATAGCGTTAGATTACTTGGAGATCAATTTAGTGTTGTTAACAAGGTTATCACAATACTTCCAAAGAGACTAATCTAAAACCTCTTCTTTTCAAAACTCAAGAGATCTAAACAATATTTCTTTATCAGAACTTATTTTAGGGTGTATAACAAGCAAAGAAAAATTGTAAGTACGATATTTGCTCTTTAATTGGCAGAGATTCAATGAACAGACAAAGAAAAAGGGCTGATATTCATAGTTTTCGTACTATACACCTGGGTAAATGCTTTACCATTTGTGTACTAAAATAATCATGCAGCATGGAATCATGGGCATCCTGTCACCCTTTCCAATGACAAAGGCATCAAAGACCTAAGTAGTCGTAAGACGATAGCAGGTCAATCATGCAACACAACAATAAAACTGTACCAAAACCTCGCCCTGCCAGAACTAGAAATATGGTGAAGCACGACTTAAGTACGTTCTTATAATCAGCCTTATTTCCCTGATTTGCCTTCTTTTACACTCCAATGGCTATCAAATATATTTACTTCTTAAAGCAAAAGGCTTGACTAAACTCTCAACCCATTACAATATTCTCACCCCCCCAAATAAATTTATGTATCAAGGAAACTAAGACTCTTTCAACGGTAGTCTTTACACTTCAATTTGATGTTAGCAAAGATGACATCCATATCAACCATGAATAACCTCCAAGAAAGCTAAGTCACCATTCACAACTATGTATCTCGAATTCAATCATCAACTTCATCAAATAATTTTCAGTTGTCTATGAGAAAAGGAAGAAAGAATTCTTACCCTCCTACAGCTTGCGCATGTTTACATGAAGCCCTGAACAAACATAACCTTATAAAGAGTGCTGATACAAAATAACATGACATGAGAAAGGGTTGTCATATACCTTTCCTTAACTTGCTGCTGAGATCAAATATATTGCACTTAACTATCAAGGCCAAGGCTTGCTGGATATAAGATTATCGATCAATTAAGAAGTTATATACTAGCTTCAGTACTGAATGTATTTGAACTTGTTTCAGCTTCCTCATGCTTTAAACTCAAATTCATTTCAGTTTCCCCGTCCTCAGTGACACCTTTGGCAATTTTATCAACTTCCTGTAGTTGCTTTAATTTATTTGAACTTGCTTCCTCATGCTCTAAACTTGAATTCTTTTTAGTTTCATTGTCCTTAGTGACACCTGTGGCAATTTTATCAAGTTCTTGTAGCTGCTTTACTTTATTTGAACTTGCTTCTACTTGCTCATGCTCGAAATCTCTTCAGTTTCCTTGTCCTCAGTGATGCTTTTGGCAGTTTTATCAAATTCCTGTACCGGCTTTACTTGAATTCTGACATGCTTTCCTTTGATGTACCGATATTCCCATTTCGGAGGTGGATATTTCTTCTTTAATTTGTCGTACTTGTCCAACATGCCCAACTTTTAGAAGACAATTCCAGTTATTGAACAACTGATATACTTGATTTGACCCCAAGCTCTTCCATGTCAGCAAATACCAATAAAACTATCGCACTGGTTACATTAGTAGGCATGAAGAAGTTTAGAACATCCATCACTCACTCATAGGGTCATAACGTATTTAAAAACTTAAATTGCTAAAGCCTCTGTTTGTTTGATGCTTTTTCTTTTTGTTCTTTCCATTAGAAAGTCGTAAGCAAAAATAATAATAATAATAATAATAATAATAATAATAAAAATAAATAAATAATTGAACTGACAAAAAAATACAAATATCATAAAGTAAAAGCAACAATGAAATGGAGCCTAAACTAAGTCAGGAATTATAAATGCATAATTAACTAGTGCCTAAAACCAAACCGATTGTCGTTTTAAGTCGATAGAAGATTTAAAAGAAGAGGAAATGAAGACTGCTATGTATCCTATTGACAAAGAAAAGCACACACACAAAAAAAAAAAAAAAACAGAAGAACGATGGCAGATTTGAAGTTACTGGATTACAGGAGTTTCTACCATAAGGTGTTCCAATACCACATTATTTTCATTTTCACGAACCATCTCAACTCTGCTACATGGTGTTTCAAGGGATTATAAAACCAGACTTCGGATCAGAACTATATGCAGTACATTGCTTACTCGGAGAAATCAAGGGAAGATAAAAGAAAAGGCTAACCTATACATTCAAATTATTATAAAGCACATCATCACAATAAGAGTCTTGAATGAGATGACAATACAAATACCTCAAACAATTTATCATGCATTTCCTTGTGGTAATAAATTGAAATCATTTTATCAAAGAAAATGCGCGGGGTGCTTTCTAAATCATCAGAAAACCGTTTGGCCCAGAGCTCTTCAGCCTCCTCAAGTCTCCCGTCCTCTGCCAAAGCATTCAGTAAGGTGAAATATGTTCCCATTGTTCTTCCTTGCCCTTTGCTTAGCATCCATTTATCACCTGCAAGTGAAAGTGCGCTTTCCTAGACTAATCTCATTTTAATGTAGAAAGCCAAAAGCAAGGATAAAATTAAAGAGATATTAGAAAAACAATCTGAAATGAAAGTTAGTTACCTGTATTATTCTCTTCCACTCTCGTTCGTTCTGAAGGATCTTCAATGCTTTCTTCACTATAATTAGAGGGAACTCTAGTTCCCACGCAATAAAGGAATCGAGAGCACCGTAAACTTCCTCCTTGACATTTGAAAGTTGCTTTACCTACAAAAGCATGACCAATAATAGATGGCTATATCTCAAGATTGCTATAGAAAGAATCAAATTCACAACGATCATTTCATGTACGAGTTCACTCTACCATGAAAAACCCAGCTTAACCCACTCATTCCCAAATCAGCAACCAACTAGGATATTTGTTTTGGTAATATCTAACTTACATATAGATAGTAAAAGCAAGAACAACTTACACAAGCAACAAGTTCAGTTGATTTTGAGACAGTCCCAATTCTCTTCCTTGATTTCCATACCCGAGGATATCGAGGCCTTGGACCTTTAGCTGCGCATACCTGAAAATCATTTGAGATTTACTGATTCATCATAAGGACCATTAAATTTTAAAAATAGCATACACACATTCTTATAATACTGAAGTTTCAACTGAAAACGTACCACGGTATTCCTAGGTCTCTGAGTTATTTTAACTGATTCCCATCTTTTAGTAATAAGTGGCAGATCATATCTGCAACAAAGCATCCTGGCATAACGCAAAACCAGAAAGAATAAGAACAAACATTGATTAATTACGATAGCATCAGTTACCGTTAACAAAACAGTTTTCTTGTTAAAAAAAAAGCTTAAAATATGAATCCAGCATTTTCTCAGCAACCAAACACAATTACTCAAAGGAGACGGAGACTGGAAGAGGCATACTGGCTTAAGAGTTCGATGTTTAAGTCCCAAGAGATAGCTTCAATGTCGTAGATAGAAGATAATTTTCCCCTTTGTTCCGTTTTTTTTTCTTCTGATTTTCTGGTTATCCAAAGTTCCAAACAAGGTGCCATTTAAGTGTGTGTGGGCTTATTTGTCTTTTTCTCAGATAAAATTTATATAAAATTTAGTATCCGATCAAGTTTTCCCACGTGTAAGGTTGCGGAAAATACGCAGATGAACTGCACCTTTATGCCTCATCTTCTCATTGTGTATCACAAATAGACCCCTCACTCTCTCATATGTCAGGAGAGTGAGTCACAACGAACCCAATTAATTTCCCTTTTTTGATATGATGATGACAGAATCAGCTATGACAGAATCAGCTATGGCCGTTCGATTCCCCACCGCTGCAAATTTGTTCTACTCCTCCTTACACCGTAACTCTCCTCCCTATCTTTCACCTCATCTTTTTTTACATTTTTGAGTCATCAAGTTTTTATACTGTTTACGGTTTCTCAAGTTAGCTTTGTTAATGAAGCAGCTCACCTCACCTCACCTCAACTGAGTTTGCAATATGTTTTAGCTTTTTGTTTAAGTTTTCTTGCAATTTCTTAGCTGCCAAACAGAGACTTGACTTTTTTTTTTGTATATGTTGTGCATTTACTGTTTGAGTAGATTCTCATCCTACCTGCAGCTCTGGTGAGGTTACTAGTTGCCACGTCACCTCTCGCTGGCTGTTTCGAGGTGGTGGCTTCAACGTAACTTGGTACTAAGTTTAATTTATGTCTTCCTATTTAGTAATTACTTGTTAGATTTTTCTTTTCTCTCTTGCGATTTTAAATTTTCCCCTAGTAACTCATTTTTAGACTGCAAAAGAAAAGAATTGTCAAATTCTGCAAAATATCATAAATTGTTTTGTGTAAAATGTGTCTGGAGATAAAGCTAAATAGTTATAAGCATGCGCTTGGTTGAGTTAAAAAATCCAAGGATTGAAGAAGAGAATGAAAAAGAAGAAACAAAATAAAATTTTAAGCGTGATAGGTATGAAAAAATAGAAAAGATTACCATTTTCATGATATGCAGTGAATATAAAGTTTTTTATTCGTTCTTTCTTTCTTTCTTTCTTTCCTGCCAAACAACCAATGGAAAGAAAAATATATTTTTCCATTTTTTACTCCTTCAATTCTCCATCTTTTCGATTAGGTTTCCATCTTGCCAAGCAAAACCTAAGAGTTGTTTTTGCAGGAATGAATTTGGAAGGCTAAATAGTGCTTCCCTTTCAAGAAGGGTAAAGAACAACATTCGAGCAACAGCAGAGCAATTAGGTTCAGCAGCTGATCCTGCCAAGCAGAATGGAAGGTCAAATTTCCATCCTTTTGAAGAGATTGGTGAGTCTACGTCTAAAAATAGTAATGATGCTACACTCACAGCTGCAGAAAACTCTAGGACGATCATTGAGGTATTGCATTCATTGTTGATTATGGAATCAACTTCCATAGGAATGGCTTTAATGTAAATAACATGTTTGTATATGCTATTCTTGTTGAAGAATAGTAAATTAGATGTCTTTTATGCATTTTGGTTTGGTTAACATTTGAAATATGTACTCTTATGCTTCTGATTCCTGCTATTCAGCATGTTTGTATGGCTAATGTTGGCTGTTTTATGTCTTTTTCAGGTGAATAGTAAAGCAACAGTTATGTTTTCGGGGATGATAAATGGTGAAGTTCATGGAAATATTATGTGGCCAGACTTGCCTTTTGCAACTGATGAGCATGGAAGTAAGTTGACTATTCCTGTTTCAAGTATTTGAGCTTGACAGCCTCAATTGGCAAATTGAAGTTTTTCCCTGATGCCTTGCAGATGTATACCTGCACGTGAAAAGTGATGAAGATATTTTGCAAAGTCTTACTGTAGAAAATAACTTTGTGGTATGCAACGTTTTTCTTTCGGACAATTTTGCTAATTCCTGACTAGCATGCATGTCTCTAGACTATTTAGATCTTGAATGCAGTTCTCGCTTTTCCAATTTGACATTAGTGTTGTTTTTCCATGTAACCAATTCATAACTGATTCTTGAGATATGTATTGCATATTCTATTTAATATCCTTGATCTGACATTTTAACTACTACACCATTCTAACTTTCAAATGGGCATCATTTCGAGTTGAATTGCAGAAGTCATTATAGGATTTGGCACTACAGAAATCATGAAGGAAATTGAGTTATCAGGTCCATCAGAAGTTGATTTTGGAATTGAGGAAATTGACGATTAAGATATTGATATTGAAGATGACGACAATGATGATGTCGACGACAATGATAATGAAGATTATGATGAGGTTTGGCCATTTACCTTCTTATCCCTTTTCCTTTCAAATTAACTTATGCATGGATTTAGCGATCAAATATGAAGATGGATTTAGCTTTTCCTTTCAAATATTAATTTGTCGTTTGTAGGAGTGGATTGCTGCTTTTGAAGATGAAGCTGATGAAGATGACTCTGATGGGACTCTTGGAGACTGGGCAAAATTGGAGACAATGCGTTCATCTCATCCTATGTACTTTGCCAAAAATTTGACTGAGGTAATGATACTTCATGTTAAATACTAAATGCAAATTAGTCTGGAAGAAGTGCTAGGAAGACGACTTGAAGTAAAATCCGAGTTCATAGCTATATAGTGTCGTAACCCGTTTTCACCCGGGCACGAATTTTTAACTTGGTGGGAAAAATAAAACGAATAAATAAATGATTTTGATTAAAAAAATATTTTGGGAGTCGCCATCGGTCTTTTGGATCAGGTAGGTCGAATACCTAAAAATTATTTTTTAAAAGAGTTTTTAAGAAAACATCAGTTAAAAGATAAACTGGTATGCGTTTTAACCAACAATTCGTTTTTTTTTAATAATAAAAAGGGATTCGTAGTCGATTACGTTTGGGGAATGATTAGCACTCCAACAACGCCCAAGATTAATACTTTATTAATTATAAATTATCTTTATTTTTAGAAATTTAAATATTCAAAGATGTATATTTAATTTATAATTGTATTATTTCAAATTTATAATTTTAAGAAAATCTATTAATTTATATATATAAATAAGATATTTATTTATTTAGAAATATCAGAAAAGGACTTCTAGGTGTTTTAAGACAACTCTTTTCTTAATATTAAAAAAATATTAAAACATTTATAAAAATAGATATAATTTATAAAAGTAATATATTTTATTTATTTAAAAATATTAGAAAATGGGCATCCAGTTGCTTTAAGACTGTCATTTCTTAATATTTTAAAAATAAATATATATTTTAAATATAATTCTTTAAAAGTAATTTGTAAACTTAAAAATAAAAAATAAAAAATAAAAAATAAATAAATATTATTTATTATATAGATATTTATAATAATAATAATGATAATGATAATAAATGTATTAAAAATAAACATATAAAATTGAAATACAACTAAATAATTACCAAAATAAATAAAATTAAAACTATATAGTTTAAAATATAAAACAATAAAACTTGTAATTGAAAATATTAAAATTAATGACTAAATTAGAATAAATTAAAATTAAATATCCTAAATCATAATTAATTATTTAATATTTCAGTGACTAAATATGCTATTTTTCTTATTATTAATTTAGGGACTAAAATAAATATAATTAAAACAATATAATTTAAATGTAAAATATTAAAATTCACAGACCTAATTCGAATTTAGCCTGAATTAATTATTTCGGGATTATAATAAATGATATGAAAATTTTAGGGACTAAATGTGATATTTATCCTAAATATGTATAAAATACAGGTAATGACTAAATTATAAATAAATAAAATATAACGACCAAATTAAAATAATTAGAAGCTGATAGTAGTGACTAATTTGTAAAGAATACAAAATAGGAGTGACTGCGGACGAGGTTTTCATATAAGGGAAATTACACAGATACCTTCCCCAAAACGGCGTCGTTTGGGGAGGGGTTTAAATACCCTTTCAACCGGCCCTTCGGGCCATTTGCTTTCATTTTTTCTTTTCTATTCTCTCTCTATCTAAGAGAGAATGTTTTTTTTCTCTCATCTCTCTCCTAAAACCCTCCGCCCGGAGGGATCCCGGGCACCGATTGGCCGTCGTGCTTCGGCGTCGATGGCCACCGTCGGCCACCGCCAACGGTGGCCGGAAAATTCAAAATACCCTAAAATATATATCTCAAATCTCCAAAGGCAAATCCAAACTCCATTTCTTTTAAAACCCTCTAGAATTTCCTAGATCTAGGTTTTATACCTTCGTGTTTTCAAGGGTTCGAAGACGGTTTGGAGGGTTGCGATGGTCGTAAGTTCTTCTCTCTTCCTTTTCTTTATTTTGTTGCTATGGATTTTGCTTGCTGTTGGTTGCTGTCTTCTCGGTTTTTTCCCTATCCCTTCCTTCTTTTTTTTGTTTGCAGGGAACGGTGGCTTTTATAGCCACCCCAATGCTCCTCTTCGGACTGGTTAAAGAATGGAAACCTCGGTGAGTCACCAAAGCTAGGCTGGTGACTCACCGTAGGGATGGTCGTGGGCTGCCATCTGGCGTTTTGGAGTATTCTGAAGGCTTCGAAGAGGGTGGCAGAAGCTGGCTGAGGCACCTGGTAGTGGCATCGTCGGCAGTGGCGGTTTGAGCACTTGGCAGCAAAGGTTGAAGTGTTTAGAAGCTTGGAGCGGTAGTGGTGCTAGGGTTAGAAACCCTAAGGCTTCTTGTTGTTCTTTCTGTGGACCGTTGGATCTCTCAGATCCAACGGCTAAGAGATGCGGCAGCTGGGAGCTGAGGATGAAAACCCTAGTTGGGTTTAGGGTTTTGGGTTGTAAACGAGCCTGGTTATTGGGCTTTGTAATATTTATTTAATAATAAATAATAATAATAATAATGTATAATAATATTAATAA